TTTCATCTAGTTAACTGGAGCAAAGTCTGCAGGCCAAAACCATGGTGATTTAGGGGTGAGAAGAGTCAAGGATTTCAATACTGCCCTTTTAGGAAAATGGTTTTGGCGTTTTGGGAAAAATCAGGGGGTTTGTGGAGAAGAGTGTCCTTGCCAAGTATGGCGAGAGAAATCTAGGGTGGGACCTAGGAGCTGCTAGCCAGTCCTATGGATGTTTAGTCTGAAAAAGGGATTGAAAAGGCTTTTGCTGATTTTGCACAAGGAGTGAAGTTCAAGATTGGGGATGGGTTGAGGGTGAAATTTTGGAAGGATGTCCGGTATGGAGAAAGGCCACTGGAAGAAGCTTTCCCTGATCTCTTTGAGGTGGCGGTGGATAAAGAATCCAAAGTAGCCGACTGTATGCAGCTGTAAGATGGAAGTGTGGTGTGGCTTCCTCATTTTAGAAAAAATTTAAATGACTGGGAGGTGGATTCATTGATGGAAATGTTGCATCTTCTATACAACACAGAAGTAGAAATTGAGAGGGCTGACTATAGAGTTTAGAAATGGGACAGAGCAGGAAAGTTCAGAGTCAAATCTTTTCACAATGCTATAACCATTAGAGAAGAGCAGCTAGTTCCTACCAACATCATTTGGTGCAAGAATGTTCCCTCAAAAATTGCTTTCCTTTTCTTGACTGCTTATTTAAACAAAGTCCTAACCAGAGATAATCTCCCGCGCAAGGAAATGCTTTTGGACTCATCAGATTGTGTTCTTTGTGAAGGCCACTAAGAATCTGTGGACCACCTGCTGTTGAGTTGCCATTTTTCTGCTGATATATGGTTCATAGTAGCTCAACTTCTTCAGGTGCAAACCTGTTGCCCAGGATCAGTAGCGAAGTTTTTAAAAGGATGGATGGTGAAAGGTCTGAGCAAAAGAAGAAAACTGATCTGGAAAGTAATCCCAGTGGTGGTGTTTTGGTGCTTATGGCAGGAGAGAAATGCAAGAATCTTCAAAACTAAGATCAGCTCTTTAGATTCTGTTTTTCAGGAAGTTTTGGGGAATATACACTCCTGGCTTATGGGTTATTTGTATTTTAAGAATATAGGTTTCAGTCCCCTTTTTGTATATGAAAATCTTTTTGTAAAGCAGGATGGAGGGTATAGTGCTGCTAGGACAGTTTTCTGATTAGTTCATGTGTACATCATTTTGTTGTACATGTTTGTTTTTCTTAGTATATTCTTAGTTTTTAAAGTTACCTTCTCTAAAAAAAAAGTCCAATCAGCATGCTACTATCTTTTCCTGAATGCTACAAAAGACTTTAGGCAACCATTGGTTTTCTTCACCCTATAGACTTCATAAAAAGAGTTGATTACTGAGGACTGTAATCAGTCCAATTCTTGATGTGAATTTAATGAAAAAAAACAGAAAATAGATGAGAGAAGAGAGAAGGTAACATAACTATTTATATTAACATCATAAATAAAGCAGCAATTACACTAATGCCCCTACTACTTACATAAGCAAATATCTAAAAACACTAACATCACTAACAACAACCTAATAAGAAATATAAAACAGCAAACAAGTAACGACATCAGTGGGGACCACAATAAATAACTGGCAGCAATATAACAACACACATTATTGCTCTACATCTCTATATCCCCCCCCCCCCCAAAGTTGGGAATAGATATCTATCATTCCCAACTTGCATAAATCTGTTTCCAACTTGGTCCTTGTGTTAATAGCAACCTAATTGTCACTATACAATATTAGAGGCTTCTCATAAGCAATTCCCAGTTCCTCCAATAAGGACCTCTGACCTCAACCATAATACTTCAGCCACACCATGTGCTATAGATCTATATTCTGCTTCAACACTGGAATGAGCTACAACATTCTGTTTCCTACTCCTCCAATAGACAAGGCTTATTCTTACAAAAGCACAATACCCAGAAGTAGACCTCTTGTCATCAACACACTCATCCCAATCAACATTTGTGTAAATTTTTATCTTCAAATAACTATTATTTCGGAAGAGTATGCCTTTGCCTGGACATCTCTTTAGGTAAGCAAGAATCCTCTCAACTGCAAGAAGTGAGTATAGTCATCAACAAACAACAGAAAATATGTGTCCCCCCATAGCAGTGATGTGATATGGTCTCCAAACATCAGCATGCATAATTTCAAAAGGAATAGTACTTCTTTTATTGCTCAAAGAATAGGTTGTTCTATAATTCTTTGCAAGTTCATAACTTTCACATTTTAAACAAGACATCTGGATTGACTCAAACAAACTGGGAAACAAATGCCTTAAAGACTTAAAAGACAAATGACCTAACTGATTATGCCAAAGCATAATCTATAAAAAGAAGCATAATCTCACTCATAGATTGAGAAACAAGAGACCTTCCAACTTCTTTATCTTCCCTATGTAGATACCCTCCAATTAGGTAGATTCCATTTGTCTCACGACCAATCCCAATTATCTTCATTGTCTCCAAATCCTAGAAAACACACTGATCAGGGAAAAAAATCATTGAATAGTTTTGATTTTTAGTAATGCTACTAATTGACAATAGATTAGTACTAAGTTTAGGAACATGCAAAACTGAAGACAAGGAGATGGCGCCAAATAGTTTAATGTCTCCCTTCCCAGAGATGGGAATAAGGGATCCATTAGCAATGGATACTCTGTCTCCGCCAGGGGGTAAGCAATAAGTGTTAAGCAGAGAAGATAAGCTTGTCATGTGGTCATATGCACTTGAATCTATGACCCAACAATGTCCATTGTTACCTGGGCCTGAAACATCAAAATGTTGATGCCCTTGTACCTGAATGAGCAAATGCTGAAGTAGGAGTGGCAGATGTAACCGGTGACTGCGATGAGGGGACTGAAGTGCCAACTTCACTTTCCAACTGAGTCAGAGCAACTCGGACAACAACTAAAGTGTCTAGGGTTGTGGCTCTTGTGTTGGATGAGGATGCACCATCAGTAGTGATTGCCACATTGGCATTCCCCTTTTTGTTTTTGAGTTTGGCTGGAATTAAATGTGGATATAACTTCTAACAAATGACCCCGGTATGCTTCGGCTTCTCGCAATGGTCACAAACTAACTCCTTCTTATCCTCCTTCTTTATGTCCCTTTCCTTGTCACCCCCAAATTTTGGTTTCACTATTGCTAGGGCTGATTCCATTGGCTGAAATTGCAACATAACCTTTCTCCTACTTTCTTCGTTGTGCACTAGAGAATAGGCCTGAGATAAGGTCACACTCTCCCTGGTGAGTGGTTGTTGTCTCACAATATCATATTCTAAATTCAGACCAGCTAGGAATCAAAAACCCTATTGGTCTCAACCTGTTTTCTATAGGTTTTTGCATCCTTTTGACTTTCCCACTCAATGGTTTCTAGGTGATCAATTTTATCCATAATGATTTCAGTGGAGAAGTAAACTGACATTGGTTTCTCTCATTGCTTGAGATTATTTATTTCACATTTCAGTTCATAGGCCCTAACAACATTGAGTGGCTGAGAGTAGGTTTCCTTCACCACTTCCCAGATCTCCTTAGTTGTTTTTGCCCACAAGTAATTCCGGCTAATATGAGGCTGTGCAGAGTTACTGTTTCCAGCCCCCAAAACACGTTCCCCTTGAGTCCTAAACTCAGCTCCTGCCATTTCTATAAGAGATTTATCAGAAGAAACCAGTTCTCTGCAAGACACCCCCCCAAAAGAGAAACTTTTGTGTTATAACAAATATAGTAATCACCCAGAAAAGGTTTGGAAGCTGAAACTAGCCTACAAATTACCTAGAAAACAGTTTGGAATGCTGAAACTGATCTAGAAATCACCCAGAAAATTGTTAACAGTCAGGTCTGATTTTAGGGTTAAGAAAAACCCTAGAGAAAACAAATAATTCTCATTTGCTCCTTCTATATGGGTCTGATCTATCTCTGATTGGCATCGATCTCAAGGAAAAATAAAAACTTACCCAGGAAAACTTGATTGCCACTTCCAATCCCAGTCTGAACCCTAATCTTGATCCTTCTTGTTCTTCTCTTGTTCTTCCTAATTACTAGATACTCTCCAAGACTATACAAATCCTTGGACAACTTTTAAACCCTTCCAGTAACCTCCAAGAATCAGCTGATGGGCAGATCTTGCTAAACTTCCCGCTCTAGGAAGTTCTCATGTAGTCAGCTGGATTAGACACACATGAGAAACCCTAGATCGGCTCTGATACCAGATTGACTAATGAGGACTGTAATCAGTCCAATTCTTGATATGAATTTAATGGGAAAAAGTAACAAGAAAAGAAGAAGAGAACAGAGAGAAGAGAAGAGATGAGAGATAAGAGTGTGGGTTGGCTAGAGTCCCCCCCCCCACACACTCAACTATTTATATTAATATCATAAATAAGGCAGCAATAACACTAATGCCCCTACTGCTTATATAAGCAAATAACTAACAAAACTAACATCACTAACACCAAATATAAAACAGCAAACAAATAACAGCAGCAGTGGGGACCACAATAAATAACTAACAGCAATATAACAGCACACATTGCTCTACATCTCTACAAGTACAATAAGTCCAGCCTTTTCTTTTAGTGTCTTTTTAGGGTTCCCATTCTCTCTCTCTCTCTCCTATGTGAATTATATATTGAATTATGGTTATCCCCTTTACAAAATTATACGACTTTGAGGACTCGAACTGATGGACCACTGTACCATCAAATTGATAACAAATTCAATGTCCAGCATCACCCCGGCCTTCACTAAAACTCTTATAATTGAAAAAGTAGTATGATTTTGTACCATGAGGATGAGATATGTCTTGATGTCTTCTTTTATGAAAAGATGAAATGAGCCATGCAAAAGAAAAAAAGAGAGAGAGAAGTGAGCCATGCAAACTGAGGTCCATGTATTTGGATGATATGTACAATAGGTAAGGGTAATTAAACTCTAATGGTATTTGATCCATTTGTTGTCATCACATTAAATGATATTGCTCTTGCAGGAAGCTGGATAGAAATTATTTAACAGGTCCAATACCTGCATTTCTTGGCAATTTATCTGCAATGGAATCCATGTAAGTCAAACCTTTTATTGAAAATTTGATATGTGCCAAATCTAAAGATTGATGTGAAATGAAATGACATTTGAAAGCAATGACTCTCTGAGGTTTGGATTTATCCGTGCTGATGCTTAAATTTGCACACATGCAACATCAAACCCAGCCTCTGTGCCTATCAATTCCGGAGGGCTTTACACTTCTCAAAGGGGGTTAAAATCATGCTACGTTTCAGCTTTAATCCTCTAAACAAACTATCTGTAACTCTCTTCCAATCTCTTGGTGGTTCTTTGGTAACCACTACTAGTTTGTTCTCCCAATCATCCTTGGTTGCATTCAAGACTATTCTACTGTCACTTTTAGCTTGTCCCACAGTCAGCGACCCTACTGCCTTCTTAGACTGCAGCTGCTCCTCCTTTCCTGCAGGTTCTTTACTAGACTCCCGTGTTTTCTCCTTTCTGCCATGTACCTCCTACCACCTTCCTCTGTTGACCCCTTACATGCCAGCTTCCAGCTCACTTGGGTTGCTTTCTCAGCAAAAGCTTTAAACCAGACAATAGCCCTCTCCCCTAACAGGAGCACCATGGCCATTTTCATCTCTTTAATCTTCAATGCTGTCTTCCCCTTCACCCTGAAACGTTCAAAGAGAAATTGCTTTGCTTCGATTTCCAAGGTCTTTTCCACATAGCTGCCTTCACAAACTTACCTTCCATCCTCTCCACAACTTCTTGCTGTCTTCTTCTGTTAGTTATTTTCTACATTTACATATGACTAGTTGCATGGGGAGCTGGCAAGATTGTGGTTTAGAAAGTAATGAGGTATTCATATTTGATAAATATCTATATTCACATATTGTTTATGTCTGAAATAATATTTGTATTCATTCCTTGACAAAAGCTTCCTTTAGTATCTATTGGTTTAATTCTAAAATATTATATTTAGTTTTGGCTACTGCTATGTAAGTAATTCTTTTGTATCTCAAGTTATTGTATCATCCTATTATATTTGGTGGTCATTCTGTCTGTCTTTGCTTGATCTTATAATCATTTACTTAATATATATTGCCACAACTTTTGGTATAAGATAATCTAGGCCTTTAGTCATTCCCTCCCTACTTCTTTGTCTATATAACATGCATTCCCTTCTATCAACATTTTATCAACTCAGACAGTGTCTGGAAAGCTCTTGGAATTGGAATTCAAAAAGCCTTTCTATTGATTTCTTTTCTTTTTTTGGTAAGAATGGACTTTACAAATCAATAAAGGTTTGAGGGATACATTTGTCATTTAAATATCATTAGGAAGAGTGCGATGATAATTTAGGTATTTAAATGAAATCCTAATGTTACAATCTCAGTAGATGTTAAACTTTGCTGATCTTTGTAGAAGCCAAAAGCCAGAATCAGTAATTTTCTGGCTTCTGCTTAATTATGAAGGGAAAAAAAACTTGGAGCAATCCCAAACAGGGCTGTATTACTTTCTTATGCTAATTTGTGATTCATTTAACACTTGTTTTTTCTATGTTACTAGGTCATTTGGTACGAATGCATTGTCTGGAAACATCCCAGCAGAGCTTGGAAAACTAACAAATCTAAAATTACTGTAAGATCAACCTTTCTTTTTAAAGTTTAACAATGAAAATTGAGGTTTGTTGTTCTTATATCAGCAGAACAATGAAAAATTTCATTCATTAATTTAAAGAGGTACAGCAAGAGGTTGTGAGTACAAACAAGGAAAAATAGTTACAGCCTTAGCTTTCCCACCCACCCGTATATTTTACACCAAAACCCAAAAAAGTTGCTATTCTATTGGCTCCCTGCTTAGCCAGGCAATTAGCCCAGCCATTAGCTGATCTTTGAACCCATTTAATTTCAATCTGCATATCCTTTGATAGTGGTGTTCATGGTCTTGTTTGGAGAAGATCTCAGACCAAACCAATTAATTACGGTTTGAGAAGTTCTCAGACCAAAATAAACCATTTTAATATAGATACCAAACCAGACCAACCGTTTTATTATGGTTTGGGCCATTCTATTAGGCTTAATCCAATAAGAAAGCCCAAATAGCATATTTTTTTATATTATATTAATGCAACCCAATTATATTGTATTATATATATTTTGGTTTATGGTTTGGTTTTATTTCTAAAATTCAGAAAATTGAACTGAGACTAAACTGAAATATGAAATTATTCCAAACTGAACCAGACTGTTTCTAAGTCTAGACCAGATCAAACCATCAATTTCTGTTTGTTGATCTGGACCATATAATTAACACCCCTATCCTTTGAGAACCATTTGCTTTTATTTTTTATTTTTTTTGTTGAAGAAGGTAAAGTATAATCGCATTAAATATCAATAGGTGTATACTGTATACAAAAAAATGGTTCTTTGTACAAAGAGCTTCTTTACATATGAACAAATCTTAAGGACCACCAAAACAATTCACTTCCAAAAAAGAGGATGAAGTGAATTCTCCTTCAAAATAAGTAGACATTCAGCTTCTAATCATTTCTATAGTTGAAATTGTGAATAGATTGATTAACCCTAGTTTAGTTGTAGGTCTGAAGTATGTAAGAAGAATAGTCGGTCTAGGAGAGAAAAGTTACCTCACCTAGCCGACCCACATTGTATTTAAATTGTATATATTGAATTACAAAAGTCAATATTGCCCCTCATTAAGTATGGGATACATAACTTAAACTCAGACAGAACAGACTATTCAATCTTAATTAGATATACAAAAGACTTAACTACCCTTGTACTATCAATTCTAACACTCCCTCTCAAGCTGGAGAATATATGTCATTATAGTCCTAGCTTGTCACATATGTAATCCACTCTTCCATCAGACAACCCCTTTGTAAACAGATTTGCCCATTTGTTTCTTGAACTCGCATGAGCTGTAGTTATCACTCCATTGATCACTTTTTCTCGTACAAAGTGGCAATCGACTTCAATATGCTTTGTTCTCTTAGGAAAGACTCGATTAGAAGAAATGTGTACAACAGCTTGATTATCACAGTACAACCTCATGGGCTTGTCAATTGAGAACCCCATTTCTTGCAAAAGATTTTTCAGCCATATTAGTTCACATGTAATATGAGCCATAGCCCTGTACTCAGCTTCTGCGCTGCTCCTTGCCACCACTGTTTGTTTCTTGCTCTTCCAAGTTATCAGATTGCCACTAAGGAAGGTACAATATCCTGTAGTTGACCTTCGATTTGACACAGATCCGGCCCAATCAGCATCTGTATACCCTTCTATCTCAAGAGTTCCTCCACATTTGTATAATAGACCATGACCTGGATCTCCCTTCAGGTACCTGACTATTCTTATAACTGCTTCCCAATGTGGAACCTGAGGATGTTGCATAAACTGACTCACCATACTTACAACAAATGATATATCTGGCCATGTAATAGTTAGATAGTTCAATTTTCCCACCAACCTCCTGTACCTTCCATGACCATCAAACTCTTTGTTGGTTCGAGTGTCTTAATTTGTTTGTTTATCTTTGTTGGGTCTTAAGTCATTAGTTATTGGGCCTAATCTTATTTAGTGTTTTATTTGACTAGGTGTCCCATCACTAATCAGGGGCATTCTAGTCTATTTATGTAACATTATGTAATGCTCTTATATATAATAGAATAGGGCCGGCTGAGAAAGCATTGCCGCCCTTCTCATTATCTTCTCCTTCTTCTTCTTCTTCTTCTTCTTCTTCTTCTCTTCTCATTCAGCAGCCTTATTCCAGCAAACATGGTATCAGAGCTCTAATCTTTTGCCTGGTTACAGCAGCTGCTTCTTCTTCTACTCGCATTTGACTCTCTCTCTTCTTCTTTTCTATCTTGGTTGCTGCAAAGAAACCCTAGGGTTGGTCATAGAACACAGCTGGACCTACATCTAGGGTTTCCCTTGGTTGTAGGGCCCAAGGGAAGTTAGACCCAGAAGCTGATGCCCTAATAGGCACAGTACAGCAGACTGTAGCCATTCGGCTAAGAGGGATCTGTGTAGAACAGATCTAGGAGGGAGGACTGATCTCAGCAGTCCTAGAACTGTTCGTGGGTGAGGTTATAGCCTGCGATAGCAGTGATTAGCACACAATAGAAGCCAACACAGCAAGTTGCAGGCTGCGGTAGTAGTGATTAGAACATAGCAAAAGGTAGCACAACAGATTATARTCTGTGACAGCAGTAATTAGGGCACAGTGCAGCAGTGTAGTACTCGGTGTTTCAGCTCTGTGACGGGCTCTCAGGACTGAGTTTACAGTGCAGCAAGTTCCGTAAGTTTGAAACAGTTCTCTATATATTGTGTTTACAGTCTTGACATTTACAAGTAGGAGAAGATGTCTTCCATATCTGGGGAAGTGTCTTCTAGAGATGTTAGGGCTTGTGGGAGGTCTCCTAATCTGGAGAATCCAAATCTGCACAACCTATAAATCACAAATGTGTTGTTGGACGAGTACAACTTCAGAGAATGGTCTGTTTCAGCCATGCTCTTCATCACATCCCGGGAACTCACTGGTTACTTGGACGGGCAGAAGAAGGAACCTGAAGTGGGGAGTGCTGAATATGCAGTTTGGCGCAAGGAGAATGCTACAATTATGTCCTGACTACTTGCTTCAATGACTCCAAGAGTAGCTAGGACTGTTCAACATTTCTCCACGACTGCCAAGATATGGGAAAAAGTGTCTAAAACCTATGGGCAGAAAAAAATAATGCCAGAATTTACAGACTGAATCAAGACATTGCTGCCTTGAGGCAAGGAGATATGAGTGTTGCAACATATTTTGCTACACTAGGACTATGGGAAGAGTTAGATCACCACCTTATTATTGATTGGGAAAATGCCAGAGACAAGGAAAAGCATGACAAATAGGTTCAAGAGGGTAGAGCATTTAAATTTTTGGCTGGCCTAGATCCAATATATGAGAGCATAAGGTCCCAAAATCTGGGAAGGGATGAAATGCCAGACTTACATCATGTCTACTACCTTGTGAGGAATGAAGAGGTGARAAGAAAAGAGATGCAGGTTGATACTCAAACTAAACTAGCTGAACAATCTGTGGAACATTCGGCCCTAATCTCTACAAATCAAAGGGGGAACAGGTACTCAGACAAGAGACATTTGAAGTGCACCCACTGTGGAGGAGAAAGGCATGTGAAAGAGACCTGTTGGGTTCTCTATCCGCATCTGAAGCCAGCTGCACTGAGGAAAGATAAGAAGCATCAGAAGGGTCAACCTGCAAGTGGGAATCTGGCTGCGAGTCACAGTGATGATGGTTCAAAACACTCATCCACAGTTACTTCCTCTTCCATGGGACAGACTACTAATTCCCCTGGAACCGGGTCCTTGGGTTTTACTGCCGATGAGGTAGAGGTACTTAGCCGGGCTCTAGCCCGTCTAAGGACCAATTCTCTTGCTTCCTCCTCCCTTGCCAGATCAGGTATTGTCTCTGCCTTTAGTGCAACTAGTACTATTGATCCTACCTCTTGGATTATTGATTCTGGTGYAACTGACCACATGACACACATGTTTTCTCTATTTTCTTCCTATCATTTAATGTCTGGCCAAGATAAGATGAGGGTTGCTGATGGTTCTCTCTCTACCATCTCTGGGAAAAGGAGTGGTTGACCTAAGCAAGGACCTCTCACTCAAATCTGTCTTGCATGTTCCCAATCTTTCTTCAAATCTCTTATCTTACCAAAAATTTGAATTGTAGCATAACTTTTTTTCCTACCCATTGTGTCTTTTAGGACATATTGACGAAAAGAACGATTGGGAGCGGTCATGAGTGTGGAGGTCTCTACTACCTTGATGCAGACATCAGTTCGGCCTTACAAACATCTGCTACTAGTAGTCTGTCCAATGTGGAGTCAATAGCTAGGTTACATCTGTGGCATGCTAGGTTAGGTCATTTACTGTTTTCATCATTGGAAGTGTTGTTTTCAGAATTATTCAAAGGTATTTCAAGTCAAGAGTTAGTTTGTGAAGTCCGTCAACTTTCAAAGCAATGTAGATCTGTTTATTCAACCTCTAGTAATGAAATTCAAGCTTTTTTTGACTTATTCCACTCTGATGTTTGGGGTCCCTCTCCCATTATTTCTGTTGATGGCTTTCGATACTTTATCAGTTTTATTGATAACTATTCTCGATGCACATGGATCTACTTATTAAAAGCACGAGATGAAGTGCCGCGGGTAACCATGACATTTTGCAAAATGATTGAAACACAATTTGGCAAGAAAATCAAACAATTCAGGTTAGATAATGTTGCTGAATATTTTGAAAGGTCATTGAATTTGTTTATGGAGGATGTTGGAATGATTCATTAGTCATCTTGTGCTAGTACCCCCCAACAGAATGGGGTTGCTGAGCGCAAGAATAGACACCTATTGGAGACTACTCGAGCCTTACTATTTCAGCACAAAGTTCCAAAAAACTATTGGTCTCAAGCAATCCTTACTGCATCATATCCGATAAATCGAATGCCATCCAAGTATTGGGGATGGAAACTCCTTTCTTTGTTCTTTGCCCTCACCTTCTTGACTTTTCTCTTCCACCAAGAGTCTTTGGTTGTGTATGCTTTGTACATGTCAAGGA